TTTTTTGAAAAAGAATGCATTTTTACTATTGATGTGATAGAGAATATGTGGTTAAAAAAGAAGGAAAAATTATTGATGTGATAAAAAATATTATTTTATTGAATAATGTATAATTAAAAATGAATAGAAAAATGAGAATGAAAAAAATAATGTAGCTCAAACAATGTCCTATAATATATTACATATCATGGGAATGATTTTTTTTACGATTCTATTCCTATTATAATTTAATTATTTTAATAATATATATATTTTTTTCAATATGTATTTAATTTATTTAACCATTTAATAACCATCAATGTACATATAAATTTAACTAATTCATTTTACCAGTGTGCATTAATGTATGAATTTTCTATTGGCGAGTCCAAGTGTGTAAAGCCTGAGCTCGAGCCTCGGACCCTAAACTTGTCCTCCTCAAATATCCCAACCACAAGGTCAGGGTTGGTCTCTGAGGTCGAGCTTTATCTTAGAGATCAGGCTATCGTGCCCTATGATCAAATCTCCTTAACCGTATCTCACACCTTCTACAAGTAGCAATCGTACTTTAACCATAGCTTCCCAACTATTACAAATTTGACTCCAATTGAAATTGTGCACTTTTAGCACAACACAAATACCTTGTACAACAAGGATAATGACTACAGGAGGTTGAATCATTTTAGAACTCCATCTTCAACATCTATAAATACACAATTTAGCCTCATTATTCATGTATGTTCTTCATTAATATTCAACATACGATCTTTTGCAGTAGTTCTCTTCCTGACTTAAGTATCGGATGGGCAACGAGGACACACATCGACGCCTTTGTTTCAGGTATTGAAGACCAGATCATGCGGAGTCCAATCATCTAGTTCGAGTTCATTCAGGTGCAAGTTTTTGGTAGCATCATCTATTATTAATTATCAGTTAATTAACATTCACATTCATTTATTTATCATCGATGTACATGTATATTTTAAAGATTCATTTAACCTCTGTGCTTTCATTAATATATGAAATTTATATTATTAATTTTCAATTAATTAACATTCACATTCATTTAATTAATATTCATCTTCATTTATATATTTTAGTGTTATTAATTATAATTTCACATTCAATAATGCATTTCATTATTCACGTCCATATATGCAAATTAACATCCAATTTTATTTAATTAAAAATTAAATAAGTAATTTAATATTCGTTGTCACGTATTAATTCTAAATTATTTAACATTCACAAGAATTCAAAAATTAAATTATATAACTTATAAAGTATTTTCATAGTAATTGCAGTTCAACGTTAACTAGTGAATATAGAACAAATAAATGAATTCTAATTTTGAGCTAAAATTGTAATTTAAGACGTCGATGAAACTAAAAAAGGAAAAATGGAGCAAATAATGGTTATCTTTCTTGGAGATAATAGAGAAATTTTTCTAACTATAATTTAATTATTTCAATAATACCTTATTTTTCAATATATTAAATATCACATTAAGTGAGAATAATTTTTTGAACGATTATAGTCATACTATAATCTAATTATTCAACAATACCTTATTTTTTCATTTTTCAATATGTATTTAATTTATTTAACCATTTAATAACCATCAACGCACATACAAATTTGACAGATTCATTTTATTTGTGTGCTTTTATTGATGTATGAATTTCATATTATTAATTCTCAATTAATTAACATTTACATTTGTTTATTTAACTATTTAGTTATTATCAATGTACATATACATTTTACAGATTCGTTTTACCCATGTGCTTTTATTAATGTATGAATTGCGTGTTATTGATTCTCAAATAATTAACATTCACATTTGTTTAATTAAAATTCATCTCCATTTATATATTTCAACGTTATTAATTATAATTTCACATCTAACAATGCATCTCATCATTCACTTCAATGTGTGCAAATTAACATCCAATTTTACTTAATTGAAAATTAAATAAATAATTTGACCTTTGTTGTCACGTATATATTCCCGGTTATTAATTCTAAATTATTTGACATTCACACGTATTCAATTATTACTTTTGCAGCGCTTAAAAATATTTCATAATAACGTGCATTGCAAGTTCAAAGTTGAATAGTAAATATAGAACAAAGAAATGAATTCTAATTTTTAACTAAGATTGTATATTTAGATTTAAGACGACGATGAAACTAAAAGAGAAAAATTGAGCAAGTTATGGTTATCTTTTTTGGGGATAATAGAGAATTTTTTCGAACAAGTCATGCTACTTGTACAATCTCGTTTACAACTTCGTTTACCATATGTGATTTGTCAAACATCGTATCCTTTCATTTAAAAAACTATTTTTGAAATCGATGGTCAAGATCTTTACAATACATAAGTTGTTAAACTAGTTGTCCACAAATGTTGTATAGTTAACTTTATTCTTTCTTGAATCACGTCCAATCATCTATTCTTGACCATTAGGGACATAGCTAATAAAGCAAGTATTACGCTAATCATATATCTTTTTTTACATCAAATTTTTTCATCTACTACGTTTAGGAAATCAACCCATTGATTGAAAAGATTTTTTGTTAAAATCAATGTATAAAAAAATTATCACCATATATAAAGTCAAACTTGATGTATACATAGCGATAAAGTAACTAGTAGGGGCATGACTTAACGTAGATTAGTGAAAGCAGGCAATAACAAAAGTTTATACATATGGATTTCATATTATCTAAATTTTCTCAACTATAAAAATAGAAAAAGTTACAATGCTTTGTAGGGGAGGTTTTAAGCTTTGAACTCTTCGAAGCTAATTGTGTAAACAACAATTCCTAACCAATTTGACCGTTTTCTTTCTTTATTTTGAAAGTAAAAGTTTAATTGCCGTTAAATCGAAATTCAATGATTCATTGTCAATTTAATTTCAGTGACCTAATTACACTCGGCGTCAAAGTTTGGTGACCAATCTACATAAACCCGACATTTCAGTGTAGTTTAGAAATTGCTCATCGCCTCCTTTCAGGTTTGATCAAATTACAATCGGACCCCTCACGTGAAATTACAAAGGACTTGTCTCAGCACAATACTGCCCAAACTTCAAATAAAAGAGAAGCAAAAGGCAAATTACATGTACTCGTATTTTCCGCTCAATTTGACACCATTGGAATCCACATTCAATCCTCGAAATCCAGAGCGGAACTGCTGAGA